TATAGCTACTTAACGTAGGGTGTTTTACGCCGCTAAAGAAGGCGTATAGGCGCTAAGCTAAAGATTTAATATACAACTAGATCGTATATATTACTAAAATAGAGTTCCTACCTTACTTTATTACCGCTTTTAAGGCTATAATTATAAAAGAGAACATCTAAGGAGGCTTCTAAGGCGCTAGACTAGTTCCCCTTAACCTATAGGTGGTGCTATTAAAGCTTAATATCCGCCTACGTACCCTAATACTAAGCCTAGTATTAAGCCTAATACCAGGCAGCCAGTGGTAGTCGCAGACACCTAGAAATAGTATAGAATTTGGGTCTCAATTAACGCTCGTAAAACAGAGGATTTAAAGGCACCTAGATAGTTCCCTAACAAGCATGGTTGAGGCCTTTAAAAAGATAGTAAAAGGCGCAGCTATAGTTATGCATAAGCTAGTATTGGCGTAGAAGTAGATTGCTAAGCTTTAAGCTACTAATAAAGCCACAACACGACGTAAATTATATAAAAGAAAGTGGCTATAGCGCGAAGGAGTACTTATAGTAGATAAGGGCGTTGTCAGAGGTATAGGGTAAACAGTGTAGCCTTAACTTCAACCGTGGAGAGATAGTAGCATTTTGGTGTAGGATAGACGAATTGCTGACGGGCTCTACCCGCCAGCTCCTAGTGCTATATAGTCCAAGTCACATGACCTTAGGGTGAGCCGCCTAGTCCATGGTGGGGGAGGTCTAACAGGCGTACGGCTAGCTACACTAAAGGACTTTACGGCACATAGTAATGGGAAGAAGGCAAAGAAGAAGGTATATGTTAATAAGGGTAAGCCTATATAAAGGCGCTATAGATGCTATAATAAGACTAGGCATAATTTACGCACCTATAAGAAAGATATAGAAGTAGTATCTAATTAATTAATTAGCTACTAGTAGTAGCTAATAACTACTATAGGCTACTATTAACTACCGTTGGCTACCGTTTAGTGGGGTCTTGGTATAGTAGCCAGCTCGCCCGTGTGGCCAGCTCGCCCGTAAGGTACGTTATAGTAAGATTGTATTACTAAAACGTTATAAGTAATCTTTCTATAAGGAAACTAGATATAGTAACTATATCATAGATTAACAATAATAGATTACTATAGTAATTCATTATCTCTATATACTACTATCTAACCTAGCTCTATTGGCTCTATGGTTCCATCTCTTATAGATTCATAGATCTATAAATCTAATCACGTGACCTTCTTATATATTTATATTATATTCCGCATTAGAACTATAAGTATAATTTAGATTATTATTATCCTATTAGTTATTTCTATTAACGCTATTATTATTATAATTCTAGTGCGGCGCGGTCGCCGTAACAATACTAACACTAGAAAATAAGTATATTAGAGTAATGTATATCTATATATCACGAAATACCTAGTGTACTAGAACTAATCAATTAACTTTTAAGAATTAATGGAAAGTCCTTAATGTTTATAAGCTGATTGGTCAGTTTTGGCACACTAGGTATTTCGTCACGTATGGACGTACGTTATAGATTTTGGCCTATCCCTTCTTATGTAACATTACAGCTATTGTTCTCTTGCCTAAGGCGCGAAGCCTACTATGGGAACTGTGGCATTTGGGCCAGAGATAGTGGTATTTCGGTCCATTTCCGCTGCACGACCACATTGGTGGTAGTGTATTGGAAATAGTGGTAGTTGGGAAATTATTACGCCAAGTAGTGGTAAGTTGGTCTTTTGCCGGTTTATGCATATATAGATAGCCGGCAAATTTCAAACATACCACTGCTTGGCGTAATTATTTCCTATCTAGTTACCACTGTTTCGAATACACTACCACACACGTGACGTCAGCTTGTGACATTTACCAAATACCACTGTTTCCAACGTAACGTTATTGAGGCGGCGCTTCCGATCCGTCTTCTTCGACGGGTGCTCCATGAAAGGGTTCAGCAGGCACGAAGACGGTCCAGTCCTTGTGGAGCGACGCATTTGGTTCGCTGGCCCGAAGACCGGCCAGTTGGTCTGGGCGGGCGATCAGGTGAAAAAATGCGGCGTGATTCTTCTCGTGGACGTAGCTGATGTCGAATATGACATTGGCACCGACCGCACGGGCGAGATCCTGGAGCCAGTGGAAACTGCTCTCGTGGCCTTACTTCGGCGCGAGGCTTTGTGCGGAAGGTGGGCAATGTATACGACACGGCGTGTGGAGCCTCAGATGCAATGCTTCGCGATGGGCCCGCCGCGCCTCGCGATCTCCTTGTGCCGATCCGCGGACAGTATCTCAGTCGCGGGCTACATGAAAATAGAGCTGAGGTTGTCAGCCTGATACATTAGCGACAAGGATTGCCCATTTTCAAAGCCGTGGATGTGCAAGGGGATGCGCAGGACGATGGTGGCCTGCTTGAGGGCTGTAGAGTACTTGATGGCGAGGCGATATGATGATAGAATAGTAGGATCGGATGAGTAGGCTAATGCTAGGACGTTGGAGAGAAGGAATGTGTAAGCCATGTTCCCATTCTATCTACGCAACGAAGAGACGCCCACCGCCCATTGCAAGAGTACAACGGAGTCTCCCCCACCCACGCTTTGATCGCGTCCGCCTTGTCGTATCGTGCCGTTCGCGTCGTGTCGCGTCGCAGCTCGCAACCACGCACTAGCCCTGGCGTGTCCGCTGTCCGTGTCTGTTCAAAGTACCACCCCCCCCCCCCCCCCGACAGCGCAGAATACCAGTGCCTGTGCGAGAACGCGGAGACGGCTGTGTACTCTGGCCGAAAGGCCTTGTGAGAATCGCAAGGATGATGGACTGAAGGGAGACGCAGGCGGGGAAGGGACGGGCAGGTACCGGCGGAGGGGAGCGGGCCCGCAACCCGAAAGTGAGCGGAGGAGGTGCGTTTGAAAGTGCGCTTGCGATTCGACGATAGAACTGGATGAAAATGGATGGAAGTCGGTGGTGGTGATTGTAGTGGTCGAGAATGGGAGCCGGCGGAATTGGCATGGCTGGGGCTTGGCGCGGACTCGATCCCGAGCTCCCGAGCCTCCCGTCAGATCTTGAGACAGTCGTCACCTCAATGAAGGAGCCGTAGAATTTCTCTTGGCATCTAGGGGTCTTAGTACGGGAGCTCAGAAGTACTGCCACAGCCTGGGTTCTTTCTTCACTGGAGACCGTCCACGACACTTGAGGCCTGGCTTTGATGGTATCGTGGCAACATCTTCTATACGCAGTTAAACCTGAGCGCTTCTATCCTTTTCTTGCATACTAGAGTATAGATACGCGCAGCAGAAGCTCGCGTAGCGTTTTGGTGAGGCGAGGCACGGGCCCGCTCAGAAGCCAGCGGAGCCAATCAGCATTCAAGAAACGAGAACCTGGGTAGGGTGGACTTACGATTAATACTCTAGAATGCGACACGGTTGATTGACCTTGGTCCATCTCCTGTCTTCAGACGCTGAGGTCGAAAGGAATGCTGCGTAACTTAGATTGGCTCGTAGCTGGACCTACCTAGTCTGTAAGCGACACCTCCTGAACCATCGCCCTTCCAATTCCTGCACTTCTCCATTTGTTCACGAATTTCGTGTGAGGGGGAAGCCTTGCGCACGGCATTGCGATACCCAACACTGCAATCGGATGTCTCTTCTCAATCTTCCTCACGAACTCCTCGCGATATGCGATTGTCTAGCGGAGCTTCGTTATGTCAGTGCTCTCGCCCAAACGAATCAAAAACTATACTGGCATCTTGTTCATTACCTATACGCTACAAACGGAAGGTTCAGCATTGACATGGGCTGCGCAAAAGGGGTTCAGGCGGTCAGCCTGGCTATCGCTTGCTGAAGGTGCAGACATCGAGGCGCCAAGACACGTGCATATACCACGTCTGCTGAAGCATTTGGACATTTATCGCAAAGCGACATGCATGACTCCGCTTTACGTTGCGCTTTGCTACGCATACCAAACGACGGAAGTTCCATTCATGATATCGAGCGTTGACGTGCGCTCGCTAAGCTGCCCTGCTACAGTCTGATTCGCTGGATGCAAGACTGCGAGATCATGTACCCAACCGGGCTGACACCCTGATGCATGCGCAAGTTCAATAAGACGGAACTTGTAATTCTATTGGACGATAGCGCCGACTCTACCACGCCAGATTGCGCTGATATGGATCGTGACAAGCTTCATGTAGCCCCTGGAAAACTTTGCAAGTGCAACTTGATGCATGGATGTGACTTGTTAGAAAGTGAGATTGTCTCTGTTTCATATTACTATCATGAGCATGGCCTGATCTTGATGCAAAACGTTCACGGTGCTAGTAGCCACCGCCAGAAGCTTCTTGTATCCCATACGGAGCCTTCACGTGTTCTTTTGTGGTCTTGTTGCTGGCTTGTAGCTCATCAATGCGCTTCTGAAGCCTCTTTCCAATGTCGGCATCAACTTTGGCGAACATTTCTGGTCGATATCAGCACGCGGAATTGGAAGAAAGGTCAGCAGTGAGCTTACTGATTGATTCCTCTCGCACATCAGGGAAAGCCTTGTTCAAATTGTCACCAAGTGTATGGATGAAAACTTGATCGTTGCCCTGCTCCAGAAAGATCTTCCATAATTCGCGTGCCTGCACGAAGTCTTCGTCCGAGACTTCAGATTGCCATAGGGCGACCTTGCCCACCCACTCATCATGAGCAACATCAACCTCCTTAGACTCTGCCTGGAGAAAGGACGATCGAACTTTTGTTGAAGTTAACCAACTGGAAAGGAGACATGGTCAGGTATATAATGTGGGGCCCTACCGTAGTTTGGATCGCTTCCATAATTACCGTCAATGCGCGCTGGTCCATCACGCTGGAAGGGCGTGTACACGTACTTCGCCTTGTTGCATGGTAGCTGTTGATAATTCGGTCCAACGCGATACCGTGCGGCATCAGGGTAAGAGAACATACGCGCCTGTAGCATGACATCCGCACTCGGTCCAATGCCAGGAGGCATTGTTGATGGGGAGAAAGCAGCCTGTTCGATATCTGCAAAGTAGTTGTCCGGATTCTTGTTAAGCGTAAGTTTGCCAACAGGGATCAATGGATAGTCTTTGTGTGGCCAGATCTTCGTGGGGTCGAAGATGTTCACATGGTAAGTCTCTGCATCCTTGGGGCTCATCGCCTGGATATACATTGTCCAGGTGGGGAAATCTCCGTTCTCGATGGCGTTGTACATATCCTTCACGTGGTAATCCGGTTCTTCGCCGGCAAGACGGGTAGCCTCGGCGTCGTCCAAGGTTTGAACTCCAGCGTCGGGCTTGAAATGTATCTTCACATACTTGAAGGAACCGTCTGCAACATTGCCAAACTTGTATGTATGCACTCCGTAGCCATTGATGTGACGCAATGAGGCTGGCACGCCGCGCTGACCGAAAAGATGCATCAAGGCGTGAACGCCCTCCTGGTTGTTGTTATGGAAATCCCAAAACATCGAGCTGTCAGGGACGTTGGTTTGGGGGTGTTTCTTGTGGCTCCTGTTCAGGGAAGGGAACTTGATCGGGTCTCGGACAAAGAACACCGGAAGGTCGTTGCCCACCAGATCGTAGTTTCCTTCATCCGTGTAGAACTTCATGGCCCATCCTCGGACATCACGAACAGTGTCAGCAGAGCCCTTTTCGCCACCTACAGTAGAAATTCTCATCAAAACTTTGGTCTTCTTGCCGATCTTGCTCAGGAAATCGGCGGACGTGATGTCGGTAATATCATGGGTGACCTCAAATTCACCCCATGCACCCACTGCCTTCGCATGAACCGCCCTAGAAGACTTAGCGGTAGCTCTACGCTTCATTCGACGGTTGGATATGATCACCTCTCTGGAATACGCTCTCTAGGAAAGTGGGCAAGTGTTTAGGGTTAGGGTTAGGGTTAGGGTTAGGGTTAGGGTTAGGGTTAGGGTTAGGGTTAGGGTTAGGGTTAGGGTTAGGGTTAGGGTTAGGGTTAGG